CCCGACCCCCCCCCCCCCCGGGACGGGGACGAAAAAAGTTTTGCTTTGTTCATGGTACATTTTTGTAGGGGCTTTGTTGGCTTTCCCCCTCTCCATTGCGTGTGTTTGCGCGTTCTGGTGTTAACGGCACGCAGAAGTGCACAAGGACCTTGTTACCAGGTAGTCGCTTGATAGGTTTGAGATAGTTAATGGTGTGTCATTCAGCGCCGAAAAAATGTTACTTCGTATAAATATTGCTAGCTGTGACGGACCTAGCTAGCTACAGTAATTGGTTTTTTAAGTCTTAGGAGTACAGTGCTTGGGGACGCCCCCCCCCAGGGCCCTCAAGCTAGAAGTATTATAAAACTTCCCAATGCTTCTGCGACAAGTCCGCGACATTTGACCGTGGGCGAAAATGTCGAAATAAAACACGACACCCCCAGAACCAATAAGGACGCATTAATACCATGCGTCGAAACGTCATCAATACAACCAAGCATACTCAAGCCGGAAACATGCCGAAGAGGGGCCTACGGCGGCGGTGGCATCACGTTCACCACGTGCAACACCCGTCCACAATCAATTGCAATTGCCGTGCGTTTAAGTACTTATTCACTCCCCAGGCCCCTCCATCACCTCCCTCAATCAGACTAAACCGTCGTTTCTTCGGGTGCTTTTTCGCCCCGAGCGCCTTCGCCCTCCCTCCTCGCCCCCCCTCACCCCCACACCCCAACCTTGCCCTTCTCCTCCTCGTCCCCCCTTCCCTCCCCAAGGTCTCTCTCTCCTCTGCTATAGGGACGGTATGCGCGCAAGCTCAAGCTCGCCCCGGGTCTACGTGGTTTGTTACTATCCCCCCGTGCATGAAATGTGCCCCCTTTGTATATATGATTTAGTATAGGCGTGTTTATATAGGAAATGGTACGGTGTCGGGTGGGGGGAATGGGCCTTCGTAACCCCCCTCCTTCGGAGAGGTCTGAAAAAAAGTATTATCGGGAAGGTGTCGCAAAATATTATTTTTGTGCGCCCTTGGTTTGCCTCGTATTTGTCGAAGGCAATTTTGAATCGTCCTCAGATTTTGATATGCATAGAATGTTGCATAAAAGTTGCGCAAAACGTGAAAAAAAATAGGACGATGTTTGCACTGCTGACCGTCCCCGGTGTGGAACCCCCGAAAACCGGTTCCAAACGAATGAACACCACTTCTTTGTATTTTTGTCCGCTGCGCGATAATGCAATGATCCTTTCCAGAACGTTTTGTAATACCACTTGTAAAACTGGCGCAGCCCCGCGGACCTGATTATTTACAAATATCAAGGTGCTTGAGGGAAAATCAGGATGGCGAATACTTCATGACACAATAGCTAACAACTTCACCCTGGTTTAAGGAGTTAGACTAGACTTTGAAACTTTGGACACATGTAAATTGGGTTGTTGCCAAACGCTGTGCGGTGTGGCCTCGTTTTTTCCTCCATGGTCGCCGGTTATTCGGGGTCCCAGGAGCAACACATGTTGAATGTTCTTGTATCCATTTCCTTCAACCAGCTTGTATGGATTCATCCATTCACCTCCCCGCTGCCAGATATAGCCAGTAGGGCAACATGGTGGCCTCGAAACGTATATCATCAGTTGATTCAGCTCGCCAAATCCTCGGAGGTTGATTGGTGTCAACCCAAGCTGTCAGCGGGGCTACACCCCTCCCAATGACCGATACCGAGAACGACCACTCCTATTTGCCAACTTTTTCAGCTGGGCAAAACCGTGCCAACAACAACATGGCAGGTGATGGACCTGGTGTTGACATGCAGTTTCCTCTCGGGAAGAACAAAGTGGATAATTTTTCACAATCTTACGGGGCCAATATCACCAAACGATGCATTGGTGCCCTTTTTTCATGGAACCACAGAGATATACTCCCTGGGGGTGGTGCATGAAGGCGAATGGCGCAACATTCTACCTGAAGAGGAAACGGGGACTTGAACTTGGCTTGATTTCTTGTGTGTCAAAGCTCAATCCACGGTGTACGCGCCCAACCTCCTGGAAGGAGGAAGCCGAGAATCGTAGCAAAAGACTGAAGGTGTCCCCAGCGCACGGTCGGGGAAAGTCCGTGTGCCCGGCATACACAGGACGACTTGTGTTTTCCGTTCACAAGGAAAAGGATGCATACAATTTGCTGCCAAGGCTTGGCCAAGGTGGTGGTTCCTGTGCGTATGCTTTGAAAGTTTTGGCCCATTCGAGCGAAGTGACCAATTAAGTATGCACATCACGGAGGACTTCACATCCTTCCGAAGTGAGAGGTCTCGGACTGGATAAACGTCGAGACGTCGTATCCACGTCGTATCCAAGAGGGTACTTAAAGCACAGCAACTTTGGGTTGTTTCCACGTTTCAACACGTGGGGAAACGGTCACCATTTTCTAGTGTCCAGCCGCACGTCGTGACCAAGAAGTTTACTCCGAAACGTAAGACAAAAAAAAATTCCGAAGATCTCGCGATGTGGCACGGAACAAGGTCAAGGGCACGTTAGAACATGCACCGCTCATAAAATTGCAACAGCTAAGGCTCCACGGTGCTTTGGCCGAAATGGGTTGTGTGCGTGGCTATCGCTGACTCGGCGTGGGGTCGGATCTGCCTTGATACGCAGTACTCGAGACGGCACAGCAACGTTCCCTTCCCGCGACTGAGGTACAATAATTTGGTGCGACTAGATTGAAACTCCAATTCTTACTAGACTATTTGTGACATGTGTCCATGTCCTCTACCCATAGGATCTCAGCCCTTTTGGGCGCTGCCCGACTCGCCACGGGAAAACTTGGACTGGAGCGCCTCGAGCCTCTGCGTCAAGCGACAAAGAAAATGAGTTTGAACGAAGCACATACAAGCATGTTGACCGATGGGCAACGTCAAGAGAGCACCACGGCTTGGTCACTTGGCTCGCTTACGGTGGAGTCAACCAGATGATACAGCAGTGATTCAACTCTTCTGTTGGACGAGCTTCGGTCACGTTGCTGCCTCATGTCTACGAGCGATGATTGAGAGCACACCGGTAGGCGCGTTCGGCCTATGCCTCAGCGCAAAAACGTGGAGATAACTCCCGAAGGAAGGTAGCAAGCATGCCAAACCGTTTGCTGAAACACGAAAGGATACAGCCATGTGTTGGCGAAAAAGAACAGGATGGCGTCACCATCCTGTCATTCATGCGGTCACTACGACTGTCACTAGACCAGCTCCAAACAAATGGAGGTACCAATAAACGTAGGTGACAGTGGTTTCCAACGAGCACTTGCCAAGCACACCAAGAAACTCTCCATCGCTACGTGAAAAAAATAGGTTGGCATCTGCTTCACCTGCCGCACTCCCGCCATGTCACCCTGGAACGTCCTGCAAGCCTCTCCCACCCCCACCACACCGCTTCTCCCCGCATCCTGTAGATCACCTCCAGCTTGGGTAGCCGTTTTGACAGAATCAGGATCATCAGCGGCAGTGGTCGCGATGAAGGAAAGGTGGGTCGAGAGCGCGGCGCGATAGAAATCTCCTGTCCCTCGGTCAACCAGGCGCGACCGTGTAGTCGTTGCCTGGCTGTTCCCACGGGTAGCTTCACCGGTTGGGGTGGCAGAACCAGCGAGTTCAACCGTCCCCGATCTCTTTGGTGCTACTGTGAAGGGCCCTTGTTTATTTCTGCGCCAGCTCAGGCCGGTGTCGGCGACCGAGGAATTCAAGGAACGCCGACAAAGAAGATGGTTGTCAACCTCCGCATCTGCCCGATTCTGCCCCACCATGGCGCCGTCATCTCCGCCATTTGATGGGTGGGTGGATTGAGGGGGCCTTGACGCAACTTGAGTGGGCAGACGAACACAAAAAGAACGTGGGTAGGTACGGTGAGGTTTGCTGGAAGGGACTGAAGGAAAGCGGGGTATGATTTGCTTCTCACGTCCATTTCGCCAGTCGGTTTGTGTTACTGCTGTGGAATTAGGCACGTGCTGTTCTCCGTGAGTACGGTAATGCGTGCTAACTTGTTCTCGTGAACGGTGAAGAATCGGCCGGGGACAGCCTCCACTTTGCCCAGTGATGCACAGCTCTCAAGCCCCAAACACGTCCAACGTTTACCACGTAAACCTTCAGCGCCCCATGTGAACGAAAGGAATGCCCGTCTGAATCTCCACGTCGCTCATTCGTCTTCCTTCACGAGTCACGTCCCGCCTGGTCTATTTTCGAGCGAACGTATACGTTGCACATGATTTCTTTGCGAATAGGAAATCCCATCCTCAAAGCTAGTGCTGTTGGCGAAATCGTAGGAATCATCCACGCGGTTTTGGTTCACCACACGTCAATGTTCTCACACTTTGACATGATGAGCCGACAGAGCACCACACGGTCGGCTCACCTTTGGCAGCCGTTCGTTCTTCTTCACCCGCCGGCCCCTTGCCCATCCATACCTTATCTACCTCGCGTTTCAGTCGAAACCGCACAGCTCCTTCGGGATTTGCACGTTCCTGTCCTTCTAAAACATCGCCAAGGTAATCTGACCCTTCTCTGTCGCCTTCCGCTGGCTCACCCGCAAGCGATAGATCGTCCCTAGACATTGGTAAAATCGGACAACCCGGAGGGTTCTCTCCTCCCATCGCGACCATGGTGTCTTTCCCAGATAGATCTTTGGCGGAGGTTGTTGGGTTATTTATTTTTTCACCCGGGAGATCGAGAACCACGTCGATACTTCGTCCGATGTCTTGTGTTCGTGAAGGCCTACTTTGTTTATGTTCAGTTCGATCGTCCCCGCTTGGTGGTGTCAGAGTTGGTGGTAGCGGCTTCGGCAGTGGCTGGAGCTTCTGTTGCCGGGGTACTCTCTCCTGTTGCTGTTGAACCTCCTGCACGAGTGACCGTGGTTGGTTGGGCCGTCGTAATGCAGAGCCTTTTATCCGCCAGGTTGCCGCCACTGGCATTTTTTGCCCATTCTCTGCGACGATGTCTCCCTCCATCTCACCACTGCGTTGTCGAACCTTCCCAGCAGCGCGCGGGAACGAGCAAAGCAGTCAGTGATCACCACCGGTATGGATGGTTGTGTGCTCTTCTGCCAAAACGCAGAGCTCCTGTAGGTCAGCTAGTCTACGCGCTCAACTCAAGAACAAGGGACCGGTTCCGTCGCTGAACCTTCAAAGGCGAATTTTGGACGGGGCTCCAAGTTCGTTCGGGAAAACGCCATCCAATTATAAGTTTCACGACGAATCTGGATTTTCCACGGAACCAACACCCATACAGGGCTGCTACCCGTTCTGCCACGCCCCGCTACAAGCCCCGCTACAAGATTTCATCGGGTTGGTTCCGCGTTATTGTTAGCCTAGTTGTAGCTTCGGAAGATGGGAACACACTGCAGAATATGAACAATGGTCACAAAGTGGGGACACCCTTCGATTGAGGCGCCGCCCACTCTTGTCTGTGTGTGCGCGCGCGGCTACAGTAAGCTCACCTCTGCGTTGCTGGAATTGATCGTAACAGTGCCGGACTGCTGCACCTGACACGGCCCCCTACTGCTAGTGTCCGAGTGCCTCGCTTCGTCAGTCGCGCCACCAGTTCGCCTGTTCTCCTCGCTGCCGAGACAACTTCCAAACGACGTCGCTGTTGCTGTTGTTAATGCTGCTTCAGTCTCTGCTGCCGGGCTGAACGTTGGTGTCAGAGGCAGCGCTCCGGTTTTCGGCGGCGTTCTTGCTAACGGCGGTGTTGTCGGTGGTTTCGACAATGGGTCGGTTGCATCAGCTTTATTAGCAGCGGCTATGACAGGGATACCATCGACGACAGCGGCAACTTCGGTGGTGGTGGTGGCGGTGGTGTTGGTGGTAGCCTGCGCCTGCGTGGAAAAAACATCAAATTTGACGGGTGCAAGCCCTAGAATCGAAGTCTCCTCAAAGAAGAAATGAATAAACCTAGGGGCTCTTGAAGCAGGGGTAGGTTCGGATGCATGTGTGACGACGCCACCGGAGTTACGGATCGCAACGGAAGAGTCTCTAGTGTTTTGTTCAGCTATTTCTCGGCGAGTTGTGCAACGCGGCATCAGGTTAGTCCGCTTTGTGCTGGAAGCAGCCTGTGCTTATAGACTGCATTTGCCCCGGACGCTCAACAACGGCCGTCAAGAGCCCCAGCGCCACAAAGGAGGCACGGTTCGACGTCTGAAGTGTGTATGACGAAACACGGTGAAAGCTCGCGGAGGAACCTATTTTCTAGGCCACTTTTCCCATTGCCCTCCGAGAATAGTTTCGGTTCCCAAGCGATATTGCTACGCGTCGGGCTGCACACCCCAAAAGTTGATTTACCTCCGAAACTCACCTTTTGCAGCTGCCCCCGCAAATCCGCAACTTCTTCATCGCTCTTGGAGAGCATTCGCCGTAGCCGATCTCTATCCGCTGCGGGGATCCACGTATACAACAGACATCACCGTTAAGGATTCAACAGCACCAGGACATGCGATTTCTCCGGTTGTTGCATGTGGTCTCGCCGTTTTCGGTGTCAATCCCACCTCTGCAATACGTGGTTGCGCCAAAGGATGGCAACGCGGTGCTTGCCCCAATCAGTCTGTGCGGTGCAGACGGCAACCTCGGCACACATACGAACGGGAAACCGGCACATCAAGCGCCCTTGACATTGCAGGGTTACCTTCAGCAGGATATGCGAAGAAAATGGAGAGGATGGAGACTCCGTAGGAAACAAGCGCGTGTTGCTGCAGTACACTTCACTTCCAAAGCAAATCGAAGGTTATGGTGGGGTGGGCTTGGACTCCATGAAACTGGCTATTGTGGTGTCGATGTCACAGTGGTTATAGCCAGCCTAGAGCCTAGGCAGAATTGAAAACCATGAGAACGTAACCACGGCAAAAAAAATCGGAAAACAAAAAAACACTCTCAGCAGATAATCACTTAGAGTGACGAGGCGGCGAAGGCAACGGGGTGTACGCGAAGGAGTGAAGGCGGGATTGACGACGATGAGCGCAACCCGTCTCACCCGTAACCTGCACGCTGCCAGAGCCAGGTGTATTAGTCCATCCTACTCTGGTTCGCCGCTGACCTTTGTGCCCATCCGCGCTCGCGTGGTCAACTCAACAATGTGACAGGGGGCGAACGCAACAAATCGTAATCTGACCTTCCAATTCCCTGGCTCTGTATTCAGCCTTCGCCTTTTCCTTGTCCAACTCCCGCTTCTCCTTCCGATCAGCCCTGCGTCGTTCCGAAGCTTGTTCTTGAACCTGGTACAAGAAACGATTCGTGCGATTGTTGTCTTGCTGCAAACCCCTTCTTGAGTGATAGTCCGTGCCTGTGCTACGGCACGACTGTTACACCGAAACATCCGTGTAGCCTCCGTGTTGTGTAACTCTGGTCGCTCGAGAGGTAGCTTAGACCAGTTATCATATCGATGGAGGTATGCTTTAGCAATAGAGGGACCCAGAAACAGCCAACGGTTGATGGAAGAGTAGCCGTCATTGACGAGGGTAATGGCAGCTTGTTTCTCGCTCCTTTCATGCGGATACCTTCGACGCAGCTTTTAATGAAGAACCAACAGATTGAAGGAGACCCCAAGCCTTATCCCGGTCCCAAGCCCAAAATGAATTCCCACAGCGCTGTCTCATGCTTTCCCTATCCTACCCACGAACGTACGACGTAAAACAACACTGCAGTCGAGGGCCTTCTCTAGTTCGGGGTTGATGACGCGGAAATTAGGCATAGTGTGGCGGAACGACTCCGTGCGGAATCTGGCAAAAAAATATTACAACAAATCATGCACAACGCAAATCAAACACCGCTAGCTCGGGTGCCCAATAGAGTAAAGGCGCACAGGGATGTTACAGGCCTTTCGGCTGCCTCTCCTACGGCGCTCACCGCTTGTAGGATAGCCCGCAGCTCATCCCTCTCCTGTTGGCTGCGCTCCAGCTCCCCCTCCGCCCCCCTCCATGCCTCCCTCGCCCTCTTGAGCTCGATGAGGGTCGCCTTGTTGATGACCGCTGCCCTAATGCTCGCGTCAGGCACTTCCGATGCCGACGGCAAGAGCCGTTGCTGCTCAGCCTCACGATTATTTCGGTCTAGAACCTGTTCGGCGATGGAGGAAACGCCACATGGTCCAATACTAGCCTCGTTTGCGTTCGGCGGGCATTCCTTCTTCAATCGGTCTTCGTCGATTCCCTGATTGAGAGAATTCTCTGTAATCTGGCCCACCGGTACGGTTGACGCAGGCGAACTTGGAGTCGAAGAAACCCCGCCGCGCGGCAGGCTATCGTAATCGGCAAAAGACAAAGGCGGTGATTCGGCCGTTTTTCCGCCATGTAAACTTCCGCATCGATGTCCTTTTCCTTCTCCTCCCTCTACTTGTTGGTTTTCTTGTTTTTCTCCTTCCTTCGGTGCCGCGACCGACCCTTCCGTCACCGGCAGGAAATCACACGACGGCAGCGGCATCATCGATGACTCGGCGTCCGACACAATGGATGATGGCAACATATCCGGTTGTCTGTTTGGCGACCCTTCTTCCGACAAGGTATCGAGATTGCTGATATCATGGGTCGATGAAGCCGCTGTTGTCTTTGCCGGTGGTCCACCTGCAGCATCTGTTTCTGCCCGCCATGGCGATGGTGGTACCGTCGATAATGCCGGCACTTCCGATGTCGGCTGTATCTCACGCGACGAGTCTCCGGCACCCGGCCGCTCCAGCGACGAAAGTGACACCTGTGGTGTTCCTGGAGAAGGTAGAGCGTTGCCGTCGGTCAACACAATATCCCCGGGCGCCAAGGTTTCTGACGGCTCGTTGGCCCACACCTTGTCTACCGAAGGCTCACGTTCGTAACCCCGCGGAGTCTCCTGGTTGGGCAACGCCTGGCTCACCGATCGCTTGTCCATGGCTACGGGGGAATCCCCAGTTGTATCCGCCATCGGGCCTCGCAATGAGACGCCTACGTTGCCAAGCAATTGGCTGTCTTGTCTACCGCCCGGTGGCACCTGCTTCGACTCCTCTTGCAGCTTTTCGTCCACATCTACCCCCACTCCTGCCGCCGTCCCGGCCTTGTTTGCCGGTCTGGCCATGTCCAAAACGCTACTCGCGGCTACTGGGGACGAGCGCCAACGCCGGAAGGTGCTGTTGTTGTTTGCACGGATCTCCTCCTGCGCGAAATCCCAGTCTATCCTTGTTGGCACTGTTTCGGCCACCCCTTTATGGTTTAGGGAATCCCCTTGACAATGGCAACCGGTGAGGAGGTGCAGAGCAGTATGCGACAAAAGCTATTTGAGGGTGACCGTGACACGAGCAACTAAGGGTAAATATTTCAGAGCCTCTTTCATCAATACCATCGGGAAACGCTTCTCGATACTTTGCGCGAAGGTTGATTAATTATGACATAATCGATGAACAGCGTTGTGTGCTTTTCTCGCCTTCCAGGGCAATAAAAATATTTGCTGGGTTTCGTGCATGGCTTCTTCACATAATCTGAACGACTTCGTTACTTTCGGCGGAAAAAGAAGGCTAACATCTCACCGTTGCAACAAGACGAATAGTTAATAAGCAAGGAGTTTTGCACAAATCAACCCCACCAGACTACGTTCCTTGAGAAGAAGAACGTGATTGGTAATTTGCATTTTATTGCGAAGCAACCAACGTTCATGTACCTACTGTTGAAGGGTGTTGAAAGGGACAGTCAACACGGAAGTAATGACGCGAGCCAAAGACAACCCGATAGTCCCGCCGGAGCTCTCCGCCCCACTGTCCAGGTCGATCCCCCGGGGTCCCCATTTCCCTTTCCCCTCCTTGTCCCTTGTCAGGCAATGCCACCTCCTCGCCGACCGAGATCAGGACACCGTTGATGTGGACGCGAGCTCCCGGTGTCGGAGAAAGCACCGCGGTTCCGTCTGCGGTCATACGGCGTCGCCAGAAGCAGGAAGTGCTAGTGTCTTATCAGTACAGAGAGAGACCCACACCGGTTGGGTCGATACGATGTGTCGAGGTACGGCGTCGAGGTAAGGACGCCTTTCGATGTTCAGACAACAAGAACAGCATAAACAACACCAACAGCAAGAAAACGAACCAAAAATCGTTATCCAAGGCACGTTGAGGTCGTTCTTCAAACCGGAACAAGTCCACAAAGACCTTCATGAGTTTCCGACGCAGAGACATTTCCAGAATTCACCTCGAATACTGTTCCATGTCCTAGGCGACTGACAATCCAGATCGCCAGTACCTGTTCTCAGCACTATGGTCGCGTGGTGGGGTAGGACATCGTCTCCATCCAAGCGAATGTCGGCCTCTTCCCCGCTCCCCACCACCGTAGGAGCTCCTTCTTTGCGGATGGGAAACGAAATGCACTCCGAGAAGAGGAGGTCCTTCGTGAACGTGAGAGCAACAAGAAAACACCCCAATTTGAGTTGCTGAGGCGGTTTACCCAACCACCTAGCTCTTCACAGGTTCCATACAGAGGGTGCCCACAACCACCAGTATTGCAGCTATGCTCAATTGAGCACGTGTGGCCGGCTTCCTCGCCGACTCAGGAATGGTCTCAAATCAGCAAGGATGGAACCGTCCGTTGTTGTAGGAACGTTGTACACAAGACTGGTACCATCATTGAATCTATTCATTCGCAATATAGATGATACGATTTGTCTACGGAAAACGCGCCCACACCTGGTTCAGATTCAGCAGCCGCATGCCGCTCCTCCACGATCCACCCTCCCCTGCCCCCTCTTTCGGGAGTACGTCGTTGCAGCTCGGTCTCTCCGTGCTCCGGTGCAGCCCTGAGCGTCGAAACGATAAATGGCGTGAATGGTGAGTGAGTGAGCTTCGTGAGCATCTACCCGACCGCGTGCGAACCCTACGTTCAGGGCACACGCTCCGTATCTACCGATGGGAACTGCCCGATGTACTACATTATCTGGGGAGGGCAAAGAAGAAGGAGGGAAAGAACCCTTGTACAACCGGTCATTTAAGGCGAAGAAGACCTAACTTCATTGCTTTTTTTAGACACAATCATCCAGTAGTATCCTCTGTCCGAGGGAGAGCTTGGCATCGCTTGAATCTTCAAGCTTGGAGAATAAGGCGGGACGCTCAGCAAATCATCCGCGCGTACGAGACGTAAGACCATGTCCATATGAAAATGTAGAATGATATGCATAGCCATCCTGACTGTGTGCGAACTCTGCTCACCCGCCCGCGGTGGCGTGGTTATTGACAGCCGTGGTGAAGTCGAAGATGAAGAACAGTCCGAAGAACAGTCCAAAGGTGGGTCCACATAATCTCCCGGTCGTGGGCTGAAGCTGCTGCTGCGTCCAATACCCGTAGCGGCTGGCCGCTGTCCACTGTTTCGGCCTCTATCTGGAAGGATGCTTGACCCTTTCCTCTGTCAGGTCAAACCAGCACGACGGGTGATGGGGGTCGGGGTGTTGGAGGGCGCACAGTGTTTGAGGGGAATGAATACCCTTGTTGCGTGTGTCCTGCTCTCTTAGGAGTGTGCTTTCTTCGCCCTGCCACGTCCTGGTTTTCTGCACAAGCGACCGGTACGTTACGGTGATACTTTTCTGTCCGACTGGAAGAACGACACGCAGCCTAGCATTCTTGGCGTTGGGTGGCCTTTCGCCAGGAGAGGACGCGCCAAACCCGAAGTTTCCAGATTCATGTTTCGATTTTCTTCTCAACTACAGCAGTACGACGCTACAGAAACTACAACAGCGCCAGTTCTCCCCTTGTTGACACATGAAACCGCTTCCTCAACCGTGCAGTCGCTACGGAAGAGCGTGAAACGTACGACAAGTCGAATATTTGGCACAGATGCTCACACTGACTGACCTAAGGAACTGCATTAATCCGGCTGGGTGAGGGAAGCATTTTGGCCGTTGTGTTCGTCCACCCGAGGGTCACTGCAACCCCCCACGACCCAGAAAGGGCGGGGTTAACATGTTCAAGCTCTCGAGCGAGGTCATACGACCAATACCGCCAGCCTGAGTACTCGGTACGTGAATGCATTCTCTCGGTCCCATGGCAATCCTACGTCGTGTGTATGTTCTGGACTGGCTTCAGATATCACTCCCTCACCTTCTTTCGCTTCGTCTGATCCAACTTCTCCATGCTCTTGATGATTCGATCCCGCTCCGCAACAGTCTCCTTTAGCCGTTCTATCTCGCCTTGAAGGGAAGGATCGACCACGTAGATGTACCCTTGCCCCCGCGTGGCCACCTGATCGTGGGGGAAATCCGCTGGGGATTGCTGTCCGGTGGTACCGGGGGTCTGGAGCACTGCGGCGGCGTCTATATCCACGGCCATCGGCGCCGTGGATGGCTGTAGTGGTGGTTGTGTCGACGCTGGTGACGTGCAGATCTTGGTAGCATTGGCTTTTGCAAGTTGCTCCTTGAGATCCAAGACCTGAGCAGCTAGTCTATGTGGCGAGGAACGGGAGGACGAGTTGGGAAGCCCGAAGGTACAGAAACTGTTACGCGGGATGCTTGCTCGGAGTCTTGATCTCGTTTGGAGTTTAACGCGTGAGCTATGGTTGCTGACCAACAACCCATGCTTGATCTGTTTGTTTTGGCATGAACCAGCTAGAGCTACGACGCGTCGTAGAGAGACGACGCCTAGATAAGAAAGGGCCGCCACAGCTAGTGCTCGTGGCCAGCGACTAAAATCTCCTCACTTCAAGCTGCAGCGCGTCGTAGAGGGACGATGGCTAGGCTACAAAGGGCGGCTGCTGCTAGTTGTGGTGACCGATGACTTCAGTATCCTCTCTTCGTAATTTTCACGTAGGTTACGGAAACCAAGAAAAAAATAACCCCATTCTCCATAGCACAGGGTTGACTACCTTTCCACAAGCATCGCCTGTTCACCCCCCACTTCCTCCCGAGACACGCCCCTGTGAGCATTGGCGATCGCCCGGGTCCTGACCCTCTTTGCACGCTCGGCATAGCGCAGCGTCCCTAGAGTCTCTTCGTAGTGAGCGTCGCAAGGACTGATGCACGCCAGCATCACCTGTTCAGTTTGAAATCATCAAAACTGTTGACGGAGGTAGTATACGGAACCGCTGCTTCATCAGTCCGTGCAGTTCTAGTGTTCTACCGCCATCTGCGCTCTTTGGTCTTCGCTGGTTGATACGCTTGCTAGCTCACCGTCCTCGAGTTCCCTCCCAAGCTCTCCTTCAGCAGCCGAGTCAGCACACTGTTGCGGTAAGGGACGAACCCCTTCCCCGCCTCCCCTGCAGCCCTTCTTCCGCTCCCTTTGCCAGGAGATCTCGGCCGGGTTGGCGACCTCCCTCCTGCGGACCCACCGGGTCGACAACGCCGTTGAGCTTCGGACAACGCCTGTGTGTGACCGGGTTGGCGACAGAAGAGTTGGGTTTACGGGTCTTGCGGATACCACAACATGGACACGGAGCTTTTAATATCCGCCAATAGGGGGTGGGGGCATGACCAATGTCCTCAGCATCATGACTCTTCGATCATTTTCTATTTTCGAGCGTGCTCGACCGATGTGTGTGAGGGTTTCAAAGAGAAAACCTTCGGTTGCTCCGCAGAAGAAGCATCACCTCCTTCCGCCAGCATCGAAGCAGCTAGCTCTTCCCCCGCATCCATCGCCAATCGTCGTGGATTCGGTGTATTTCGTTTGTCCAATGTTTTGGTATCGCTCTGATGACCTACCTTGATGACGTCGCTTAGGGCGGCCAGAGACCGGTTGATGGAACCAGCTTCCTGAAGGCGCAAGCCTGTGGCACCCGTGTGCGATACACGCTCGCTTCCTGACAGACCGTTGCAAAGAGACAGCACAGACGCAGCGCGACCGAAGTGACATACATGTACGTAGTTCTAGCGGGAGCCGAAACCGGAGTGAGAATGCGAGTGTTTCAGGGCCGCTATATTGGGTGCAAAGCTGGTTGTCCTACCTTTCATGAAACGACTTGCGCCTAGAGAAAGGGACAATATGGAATTTAAATTGGTATGGTATTGCTCTTGACATCCACCCACCCGCGAGATCGACGAGATTCACGTTCGAACACGCCTCCCAAGATTCGTAGGAGCACCCTGTCGGAGACAACTCCTCTGAAGTCTTCGTGCGAGAGAAAATATCCCAGTGCAAAAAAAAGTGCGGAAATAAAAAAGGAGGGGATGCCATCAGAGAGAGCTGGTACAACGTGTACAAAGACAAAGTGTTCTAGGCTCTACATGGCGTCGGGGGCTACAATGGTTGGTGTTCCTGGCAATAATAGTTGGTGTTTCACAGCTGAATCAGCGTTCCAAGCACTTTTAATTGGGTTTCAAAAAGGTATTTTGCTGTTAAGCGTACCTGTCGAAACGTGAGTGTGAACACGGCGTGGCTGCGGGAACTCCAGTCGTTGGCGTTCGTGGCTGCGACCGTCCTCTCGCTCCCGCCGTATGTCAGGAGCTGGGACATCTCTTCCCAGCTCGAAACCGCGATGGAGGTCAAGCCTTCCACGTACGTGCCCGAGCTGGTGGTAGACGAAGTATCACAGACACCGTGCAGTGAATTTGAGGTAAAATCAAGTGAGATATGTTGAGGCAACGTCTCGCATCGCCCCGTGCCCCCTAGCTTTTCGTTCAATGCTCTCCTTGTCCTAGGTTGAGAATTTGGGTTATTCATCAAGATCGACAGAACCAACCAACTGGAACAGCCATCAAGAGAACTTGAGAGAAACCTTCGGAGAGACGTGCCAACGTCAAGCGTTTCGACATCGGTCTACCATAGACAACGTGCAAGGCACACATCACATAACCAATATATTTACCGGGGATCTTCTCTCAAGCGCAACCCAGACCCACTCCCGATGAAACCACCGTTGGCACCGGCCGAGCTTTGCTCCCGTAGGCCCCCACCAGTACCATCCGCGACAAAAGATGTCGCCGGATTGAACAGGTCGCGGAGGGACTCGTTGTATATTTCGAGATAGCTGACCTCAACGGACAACTGAATGTTCCCGGCAAGCTGGCCCGAGCCTCCGATCGCGTCACCACTACGAGCGGCAGCAGTAGCAAGAGATGATGACCTCGCCGCCGGAAACGATTCTTCTTCGACGCTGGTATTGCTGCAGTTCGGTTCAGAGGCACCGTGGCGAAAGCCTTCGTTACCGCCTTTAGTGTTTCTAGAGGAACTTCCACGTCCTCCTCCTCCTCCTCCTCCTCCTCCTCCTCCTCCTACTCCTCCTTCTCCTCCTGTCCCGCTGAACCCCCCCCTATGTTCCTCAGATCCCTCGAGCCTGTGCCCTTGGCTGCCACCGCGAACACTGCCTTGATGTGAAAGCCTCGCGGATTCCTCGCGTTCCATCTGTTGCGCATTCGTTTGGTTCGCTCGTTCTCAGAGAAACTCAGACTATCGTGGGTGGTGAAAGGAAGCGCGGGATGTCTTTTCAGGGTTCTCATGAAGCTGCAGAATCCATTCCACGTAAGTTAAAGATAAACGCGGCGATCGACACCAGGAAGCGGTTCATGTAATTCTTTCTGGGCGGAGGGTAGTCGCCTCAAATATACCGGGAAAAAGTAAAATGATGATGGTGAGGAATGAGAGCAGTCCCACAGCGTGAACCATTGCATGACAACGCAAACAGAAAAAGAGCTAATCTAACGAGGGGAGCACTCGCGGAGCCTCCGACGGAAGCACCGCCACCTCAAACTAAGCAGAATGCCTATCTTGGCATACGCTTGTACCTGGTCTACTCGCTCAAGAATTCCCGAGCAAATTCTAGGTATGAGACCGTGGTCTTCAGGGTCGACGGTGTCGTCCAGGGCCTTTCCCGTTCCCATCATCGTGTAAGATTTTCCGGAACCAGTCTGAGAGGGTTCGTCGCATGGGCATGCAAATGTATGGGGTGGGCACGCGGGGATTATGGTGTGGTGGGGGTGCGGTTGGTATGGTATGGGCCTTGTCCCTTATTTGACGAGCACATCGTTTGCCATGTGATACCTACCACCGCCGCTGCTCTTGTGTCGACCGTCCGAAGAGAGCGGACCTGTACACAATCGCTGCACAGCCGAGGGGAGTTGAGGCTTCTATTCCTTCATTTGGTCTGTGTGTGCGCCCAGCAAGAATCATGTTCGTGTGAGTAGAACAAGAGGGACAATACAAACACATGAAAGAGATGAAGCCAGTCGCAACGAAAAAGGGACCAAATGGACAAGATTCTAACGCCCCAATACCTGACCGTACGCAAACACGGTGGAGTTGTACCCCGAGAACGCTTGGTTGATGACGGCGGCGCCAACTTCTTCGAAAACCTGCGCCCAACACCCCGTTTCACATGGCAGCGGTCATTTGATGTTTCCGGTGGAGGGAGCTTCGGGGCACTCACACTTCGCGGGATTGACGACTACACTTCTGACAGGGTCGTTAAGTGCAGCCTACTGTGGTAGATATGCACCAATCACCACTGGAACAAAACGCACAGCCCCGCGGCCTTCATAACAACACCTTCACCAACTTCAGGATTTCAGCTGGGCATAGCCATGAGGTGCGATGCAGGAAATGAAACACGCGCTAGCTGGAACTGAGTTGCAAAAAAACACGCCCCTCGTTAAACTCCCCCTGCTCTTCTACCTTCGTCATTCGACTGCATAGTTCACCTTCTCCTGTCCACCACCACCACCATCTTCGCCACCGAAACACCGGTCGAACGAGAACCGCTTTGCCCACATGCTTGACTCCACCTGGGTTTTTCGCCGTTACAAGGGCTGAGAGGGCGCTCTGCGTGGTCGCTTCGAGGTCGAGTTAATCATGTCATGCCCCTTCCGTCGGTCCCTTTTGGGATAGAACAGTGTCACACGGTACCAGCTCTCGCCGATACCATCGACGTTTTTGGAGGGGGCGAACACCATCTCCTAGGTTCGGCCTGGGACGTACGTGTGGGCTACATCAACTCGAATGGGAAATGAGACAATACTGGAAGAATACCATAGGCAGAAGAAACACCGATCGGTTCCGATCTTGCCCCTTGTGCAGGCTTGGACTGGCACGACCGACAACGAACGCCGAGCAATGATATGTTTTCGTGTAGACAGAACATCATTTATGTTCTAGCGTTGAAAAATCATCTTTGTTTTACAATCCGGACAGGCGATATGAGTCTTGGAATGTGATACTGTCTTCGTGCCCATTGGTTCACCCCTTATTGGAACGTCGCAAACGACTACAAGGGCAACGGTCACAACCTGTTCTCGCCCGTCTCTCTCAAGCGCCAGGGCTGCAGCAAAGGCCGTCGGATCAACAACCGACATGGACTCCTCGTCATCATCGACGCTGACCACTCTCTGGAGGCAGGAAGATCGACCAAGCATACAAAGCGGTATGGAATTGGTAATTGTTAATGTTCGAAAAGAAAGGGTTGAAAGAAAGGGTTGAGCCAAACACGCCTCGATGCACGTGCCAACCTCGCAAGCACTCGAAGCCGTATGCTCCCCAAAACACCAGGCGATACGCCCCTCCGTTGTGCCCGCCATTGCAGACCAAGACGTTCAGCGAATGATAATGGCCTCACACATTTGGCATAAAGGCTGAAAATCCACCCACCTGTAAACCTGCAGCCTCTTCCCTCTCGGACATTGGTCGAACCCTCACCGCCACCCTCACCGTCTCAGTTCCACCCTCTCGCGACCTTCGGGGAACACAGGCATATACCAAAAAAAATGCAGTTGATGCTCTTGATGAGGGAAACCTATCGTTTGCACAGAAAGGAATGTCTCGGCGAGAACGACGCTGCCGCAGCTTGGATCGAGACGCAGCAAACACAGAACGAGGAATGATGGCTTTATCAACACAGCCTTCAGCGGATGTGTCTCTATGTATGTGTGGCTTGTGCGCATGCGTGCCTTTGCTGGAGCATTTGAGGGTGGAGGGAGACAAGGCACAGAGCCGGTAGACCATAAGCACCGCCACCCTGCCTACCAGTGCCCGTGCATACAAATGAAAGGCTAAACCCGAACGAGCGTAAGTACCCAAACAAGGACTACCACGTGGTTTGCGACAGCCTGTTCTCTTCTCGCGAGGGAAGTTTTCACCAACACTGCTACCCAATGCATAAAATCGATCGGTGATTGATCACATACCTTTGATTATTCCTCCCTGACGTTTCTCTGACACCACCGCCACCCCGATTGCTTTGGCCGAACGGGCACGACCCTGTTCTGCTACCGCCGATGTCATGGGACGCGTCTCGCCTCTCAAATAGCGCATGCTGCGGTTCCACGCGCGTTGAGATCGAACCTGAGTGACGGTAGAGTGGTAGGGCAATGAGGTAAGTATCCTAGCTTCCAGCAAGGGTTCGTGGGCGTGAGCAACGGTTCTGGGGGACAAGTAGCAGAATCTCAATGATATTCATCTTGCTTCCCTTGTGATGCCCGTACATTGTACTGGTGTACCACAGTCACGCATTCATCTTTGAGGGTTCAGCTGGAGGTATGTAAAGTGGGGGGGCATCCCGTACGACGTCACGACTGTCGTGCCGACCCTTGTTGCTCAAGTTACTGGCTGCCATGTACGCCACAAGAAATCGAAGGGGAAGGCCCGATAAGCATGATGATCAAAAACATGGTCGACAACATGCAGTTCAAGTGCGTTAGGGTGTCGAACTGTGGCTGGGCAGGGTGCTTGTAGCGTTTGCGTGCTTAGGCACGCCCGGCCGTTGTGAGAAGGAGGTCGTCTTCGTTATTGCTGTTGAGGGTGTTCTTCGATGTTTGTTGTGCTGCGGAGCGGTAGCTTCGAGTGTCATTTCTCCGACATCCAAAGAGGCCGACGTTCCACACACGCCGTAGTGGACGCTGAAATGTATGGCGTGTAGGGTTCAGTCCTTGAGTCGACAAAATTACGAGATTACCACAAGCCAATACCAGTTGGCCATATGTATTGAGCATCGTGCTGCAACGACAATGGGAGAGGCACTACTCCTGTGTACGCGTACCTTAAGAACACCGACATGTACTGCATGTCAAAATATGTGAAGCAAAGCACGAAAAACACTGCTTTTTGGACTCATGTCCTCATACCAAAACCAAAGCCAACCACCTGCACTGCCAACCACATCATAGGTGACAAACAACCCCGCAGCTGTTACACAGGCATACCCGGAGGAGCGCCTTGCTGCAGCCGAGCTAGAGCGCTGACGATGCTCCCACCACCTTCAAGCATTGACAGTGGCGGTCTCTGTTTCTGCCAGGATGATGGCGGGATAGGCTGCTGTGCTTGCCTTGAAGGCTCCTGTTGCCGTGTTCGGACCCACCCTGCACCCCCGCCGCTGTAGATGCCCCCGCCCGGTGCTCCTGTTCCTGTGGCCGTACTGGTACCGCATGGTGGCTTCATTTTTTTTTGTTTACATCGCCACGTTCCCTTTGCGGCTACAGCAGTTGCAGAACTTCACCCAGCCTCCACATCGTACATTGTCCTCGCCTTGCTTGCGTTCCCACTGGGTAACACACCTCCTTAGATCCACATCAGCAGTGTATCTTGTCTTAGCAAGCGGCACCCTCTAGCTAACCCAGTGGAAATCTCGATACCCGACCAAAGAGCTCCCTCCTTTGCCAGCAAGCGTTTGTCGTAGGATATGATGGCCTGGTAATCACGGCGATGCCCGCCTTTCCCTCACGTGTGAGATGAACCGGCAACTACTGCTGTAGGCAAGTTTCCCAAACTAGATATCCAACCGGCAGCACCCCCCCCC